ACTCCACTGCGGCGAGAGTTCATTGCCACAACAATGTCACTTTTTTCATCACAATGTTTGGAACACAAGGGACAAACAAGGAAAAACTAAGAAAAAACATAGGAAAACCACAAGTCATTATGGATACTGTTAAGCTCATGACTCCCCAAACAACATCAATTGTGTACTGAACAATAAAAATGATGTTAATACCCAACTAATTACCACAGTTGTTAGAGGTTTAGTTTTAAGATGGCTAGTTGGCTTGTTTTTTGGGAAATAAAACCATCCCCAGAATATTTTTGGTTTTCAAAGTTAACTATGCTTCTGACGCAATGATTCCATACTAATGTAACTCTGTTTATGCTCCTCTTCAAATATTATTATAACATAACCAAAGTAAAGCACATGCTCTGATTGGTCAAATTAGCGTCCCCCATTTGCCCATGGGTGTATGCTGCTGACGTGAGCATATGCAAAGACTAGTTTTCCGCGCGTGCTTGTTTTTTTTCTGGTCACGTAAGATTTGTTAAATAAAAGGGAACTCTTTAGCTAAAATGTGTCAATGTTATGTTATAAAACAAATGGTAAACACCACAGCGTACACTATTGAGTTAAGGATACACTTGGGAGGTTTGCTAAGCACTCAAGAAGCTAGAGTCGCTCTCGGCCATTGCCTCAAGCGACTCTTATGCTTCTTTCGTGCTTAGCAACCTCCCGCGTGCATCCATAACTCAATAGTGTACGCTGTGGTGTTACCATTTGTTAATTGTGAATAAAGCACTGAGTGACCAATTAACCGAATAGCTTGTAATAAACAACAAGATCTCTACACTATTCAACATTTTTCCTAAATACAGAACATTTAAGTCCTTGGAAACATTTCCATATAGCTTCAAACTACTCTAAATCAAAGCCATACTCTCTAAAGGCAATCTGTTTTGCTTCTGTTTTCTTTCAACTAAGCGCTGTGTGCATAATGAAGAATGGGATTATACGAAAATCTTGCCATCTTCTCCTGTTTATTCCACTAACCTTGATGGAAGTTAGTGCAAACATAATTTTTTGTTTTCCATCGATGTTGGTGTTCAGTACACGCAAAATATGCTGAAACTTCTCAGGAATTACAAGGGCCTGTGCGAAATAATGAGTAACGTAAGGACATTGAAAATCAATTACAATTATATCACTACAAAAATTTATCATCCTCATTTACATCAATAATGATACTAGTATTGACCAATCGAAAATAAAACGACACCGAATTACAGCGCGAAACTCAGACTTGGAGTTTCAGACATTTCCACAGCCAAATGAAATTTGAAGGTATAATCTTGCTGTTTAGAAGTCATTAATTCAAACGTACATCCAGAATTGCGCTCTTTTATTGGCAGAATATCGAGCAAATTGAAGGACCACGAAATTATTCAGAATTTCAAAACGACGCCTGAGAAATACAAAAACTCAGAGTAGGAACCTTCATCAATCGAAATCCCTAACGTTCGACTGTACTTATTAACTCGCTTGAGTACTTTGCAAATGAGAAAATCTACGAAATAAAAGCAGAGATCACTTCTCACATCTTAAGACACAAAAATAAAATTCACGTTAACACCGATGATGACACAGATGCAAAGATTATCGCCGATTTCTTCCACACTGTCCAGTTCAAAGTTGAACCTACCATGATGGCAGCCGAAAGAGAACATCCTTTAGGGTATGATGGGATTTGTGATTGACTGAGCCCACACAGAGAATTGTCAGTGGAACTGGCGCATTGATACAGGTTGTCATGTATGGAAATATATAGTGTCCCTACAGTTTATCCAAGAGGTATCAATATTTTCAGCAAAAGATATCCTTGTGCAAATTATTTTACTCAAAGTTGAAATATGACATAAAAAAGAATGGGTTCTTTTTTATTTACTGAGAATGTTAAGAGGTTGGTTAAACTAAATGACAAATTGAAGTGTACAGACACTACATTTGAGTTAGTCCCAATCAGAATACTACAAGTTTATCAAAATTATATTGATATAATAAATAAGATGAAAACCCAAAATACCCAAATAGGAGAAGAATGCAAGCAGATTTCATTTGCAAGTATACATTATAAAAAGCTTGCTTTATGGCTCCACTGATCTTAAATTCATTTTTCTTCTTTTCTCTGTGACATAATCTTGTTATTCCATGCAAGAATTTATTGCCAACATCACCTATGAAAACTGAAAAAACTAAAAAAAATTTCAACTTTGTTGATATATCCAAATTATTTCGTTACTCCCACCGACGCAGCCCCAAACAGTTTCTTTCGAAACTATCAGCCTTTAAAAAAAATAAACATAACTAAACAAAACAAATTTTTTTGATGTTATGTGAAAATATTATATACACTGCATACTATTAGTAACTTTTCTCAACAACTTTTGGTTTATATTGGCATTTCTAATAGAAAAATTAAAAGTCAGAGTTAAAGTTTTTAAGTCATTTGCTCTTGTAGGGACAAATACTAATTGAAACCTCACATTGAGTCATGCAAATGGAGGAATGATTTTGATCACAGGCCAAAATTTTAAATATCCCTTGACACACCAACATTAACAAACTCCCACAAACTGAAACACACACTGACTCACACACACACACACACACACACACACACACACACACACACACACACACACACACATCAGGAAAACTCTCCTTTGCACATTTTCATGAAACAAAATGAATACCAGATAAAGAGAAATCAGTGTCTCTGTCACTGCTGTCATTGACACAAGTGAGACAGGAGATCCTTTTGAGATATGCTTCTTGTCATTACAATATTCTGCAGAGTGTTTTAAATACTATATGGATAACACCAGCTTATTTTTATTCATTAAATTCTGGTGTAAACAAATTTAAAAAGTCTGTCCATTCTATTCTGGTTTCTCCTTCACCAACATGAATGTTGATACAAAAATTTCTGAATGGGTGCTTCTTCAGCATCTATAAAACCAAACTCAACAGTTCTGTCAACTGATGAAATTCCAACCCTGAGAAACAGAGGAACATCAACTCATTTTCTTTCTGCCATTTCACTTTAACATCCAAATGCATCACTTAGCGGTAATTTTACAACTCCAACTCCTCCTCCAAGCCTGCGATAGTTCATCCCTCCGTAAAGCTTCCACTGGTTGGACACTTGATCAAACACTTCAATAGTCTTAAGATACGTGGTACCATCAAAACCACCAACAGCTAAGAGTTGTCCATTTACAACTGCCAGACCCACTCCACTGCGGCGAGAGTTCATTGCCACAACAGGCGACCATTGGTTTGTTTTAGGATCATAGCATTCAGCACTACTAAGCTCTGTTGCATCATCTCGCCCTCCGACTAGGGAATGAAAACACATATCATTTAATGACCAGTATACAATTGTGTCTTGATTCTGCAGATAATAAGCCTGCAAGAGTGTTTTCACTGACTCAGTCCTGGTTCATTCTGTGTGAATTTAATACTGTTGACACATTTTTACTTCCTGATAAGTAATGGGATGACCAGGACAGCTGAGATGAAATCTTCAAGAGAATATCAAGTAACATTGTTCATATCTTTATTCATTATGAGAGGCTGAGAAGAGAGACAAGTAGCAATTCAACAGTGTACATATTGCTCTGGAGATTTGGTTGCCATTGAAAAAATGATGCGCTCGCATTAGACAAAAAAATTTTGACAGAAGATCAGGTGAAGTTATTCAATAAAATCGTACACCATTTCCCTTCACAATAAGCTAGCTAACCTGACCACATTGTGTACATGACCACTTTTAATTGTTCCATTAGTGATGGACCATGTTCCCCATAACATTGTACATAATATGCACTATCTTTTCAGTTTTCATTGAAATATGTGTTGAGTCAGGTTTTAGAAACTTGGCCAGAGACTTGTGCCAGAAAATTCTTTGATCTTCACTTCCTAATGAACATCCTGGCTTTGTAACACCGGATAATACAAATAAATAAACTTTTAGATACTCACCAACATAAAGTTTATCCTGAAACAGGGCAGCCCCTAGATGTTTCCTTCGTGTTCCCATGGGTGCCACTGGGCTCCAACGATTAGTTTTAGGATCATACTTCTCAACTGTATTTAAGGGTGAGGTGCCATCAGAGCCGCCAATGGCATACAAATAACCATCAAGTACTGCAACACCAACACCAAGTCTACGAGAACTCATAGATGCAACTCGAAACCACCTGTTATCTTGAGGGTCATATTTTTCAACAATGTACAGACATGATACACCATCTTGTCCTCCTACAGCATACATGTACCTGGAAAATTTTGTTTGAATTCAGTGATTTATTGCTTGTTTACCACTCAGATCAAGCAAGCTTAAAAATAATAAGTACAAATCAAACTAGAATTGCAACTCAATTCCAAAAAAAAAAAAACCAACTCAAGAGTCACCAGATCAAGTGCCAATGGTAGGCAGTCTGTCAAGTGTACTTATCATGGTTGTTCACCTCACATTCATGAATCTAAATGTGCTCAGTTTCCATATGACAGCAGAATCATCCAAGGTACTTAAGTAAGCAAGTGGGATAAACAATTGTACTTCAAGTCCTTTGCATTTCTCTTTTTATGGTCAGAAATATCCAAAATTTGTACATATAGTGCTGTAGTAAGAGCAGTTGCTTCCATTCGACTTGGTTTCAATACCTGAACCTTTATATTTATTATATTTATTTACCAGCATAGAAATTTTTATTATATTTGCTATCTAATAAAATGTGATTTGTACCAGAGATAATGTTATTCCTCTTTCAAACAACTTACCCATCAAGAACAGCAACACCCACACTAGTGCGACATGTGCAAGTTGGTGAAACATCACTGCTCCATTGGTTTGTTTTGGGGTCATACCTTTCAACACTATTGAGATAGCTACTACCATCATGTCCTCCAACAGCATACAGTAAATTGTCTAAGACAGCCACACCCACACCACAACGTCGCTTACTCATGGTGGCGACCATTTTCCAGTCATTTGTCTGCGGTTCATAGCGTTCAACACTACTGATGGCATCCCCACTACACCACCCTCCCACTGCAAACAATACTTCGGTGCATTTAGTTGGTTTTCGAGGTCTGGTCCGTGGTCCTTGCATAAGCAACCTTTGCTCTGGTAGAAGAAGATAGTTCTTAGCTTCATCCACAAGATCTCTACATGATTCATCACTTTTTACCAAAGGATCAGTACCAACAACACCAACTAAGAATTTGGGGCCCAGAAGCGGTAGCCTAACGTGTTGTAGGACCTGTGAAAGGTGGCATCGCCTCTCTGAGACGCTGTATTTGACCCAATTAACAACTGCTGTGAAAACCTGTTCTTCTGAACGAATGTTAAGTTCGTCGCTAGACAGAATATTCAATAATTGTGTTACCGGTAAAAGCAAGAACTCCTCACTTTCTATGACTTCTTGAAAGTTATGATGAGTAAAAATGTCGGCGATGCGCAACAGTTCGCGGCAAGAGTGAGTATCAGCGAAAGCTCTGATACCGAGGCAATTCGAAGGATCTAGCTGGCGTTTTAAGAACTCACAGCATATTTCCTGAATTTCTGAGATTTGAAGCAAACAAGCGGCAGGAAGGAGGGCTTGAACGTTGCCTTCTTCAACAGTAATCTCAGCATTGTATGCAAAATCAACCAGGAGTTCCATAGCTGTTTCATCGACATCTTGAATTGTTACTTCTTTTTTTCGACTTTCCGCCATTTCGCCAGTGAACATTGCTTTAAAATACGGACTGCACGCCGCCAAAATCACTCGATGAGCAAAGAGAGTTTTGCTACCAGCCTTTATTACAACATCACATAATTCTTTGCATTGCCGTAGAGAGTCTAATGTGTCCAGAAGCTGTTTAGGATGGCGATCTGAAATATGTCTCATCCTTGGTCTGTTGAATTGGGAGGAAGATTTTAATGGACTTCCAGCGAGAAATGGCAATCCCATCTCCATAGCTGCGGTTTTCTCAGTGTTTTCCTTTGAAACCAATCATCGCCGCTTAAAATGCCAAGTCTGTTCGTTAGCTGTGTGATTCAATACATTTGACTGCATAAATTTGGCAAACTTAGGCACACATTTATTGCCTTTTCCATCAAAACAAAATCTTCCAACAATCCAAATATAACTTGCTATTACTATGTAACCTGGCCTTCCGAATGGTGTCACGGGGAAAAGCTTGCACAGCTTACGTCACTATCCGAACAAGATAAGGCATTCGTGTCTTCTCTTTCGCGCTGTTACAACTGACGAAATTTCTTTTCTTCGTAAAAGAAATTAATCTGATTTTTAGTCTAATTTTTCGAATTTCTACGCTCTGAGGAAAACGAAATTCGAATTCTTCTCGTACCTCTTGTTTTTCGTTTATCCTAACCGTGGAAAATTGTGTTTAATTTCTTTCTTCGACAACGGCAAAAAGTTTGGAACGGAAGAACGTAATTCGCATTTCGTTTTCCTGTTCCTGTGTTGCAGGCAAACGGATTTATCCACTTTTTATTCATTGGTGGGAGAAAAAAAAATGGCAGTGTTGAAAAGCGGATGAACAATTTTTCCGATGCTTTTCGTATTGAGGAGAAACGTGTCTCATAATATAAGAAGGTCTTGTGGTGAAAATTAAGATTTCTTTAAGCTGCTAAACATGAAGAGATGTCACACTTTTGCTAAATATAAAACCCACACGAAAATCATAATACGCGTGGCTACTAATTTCCCTCTTATCTAAATTTGGTATCGACTGAGAGAAACAGTATCACCCTTTCTTATCAGTTTACAATTCCTTTGCATGGTTGCTTTCCTTTTTTCTCAATACACATTTTCTGGAGGCAAATGCGGTTTCAGTTTGAATTTCAGGTTCAATTTTTCTAAGGTCAGTAAACCGTTAAAGTCAAAGTGTACTGGTGTATCAGATAACCAACCGACTTCAAGTTTGCTAAATTCTCAAATGTGCCGAAGCCGATTTTAATCGCTTAGTTTACAACACTGTTATTTTCGAGACTACAATCTGAGGAAAATGGTAAGTTTCCACCTGTCAGAACACTCAGACTTCCCTGTCAAACATACAACATGCTTCATCAGAGAAGATCAGGGTAAAACCATGCAATTTAATGGCTTTTTACATGTAATACATTTTGAGTGAATTGAACACAGACAGTCTGAATCACTGCCATTGACTGTGGTTGAACCATCTTGGAGACAGAAGAAAATAGCGGGAGGTAGAGGAGCTATTGACACTTATTGTTTTCAAAACTGGCCCCTCTTTTGTTTAGAATGTATTATGTATTTGTTGTAGCATTAAACACGAAATATAACCTAATCTAACAATAAATAGCTAGAAAAAAAAATGGTGTTCAGAAGAAAAATGCTGACACGATGAAACGAGTAAGTAAACCTATTAGTGAGTAAAAAGTTCGTTCCATGCGGGTAGGTAGCACTTTCTCGTTAGAAAAATAAACGTGACAAATGTTGTATGTTTGGAGAGTTGCATCGTTACACGTTTTTGCTTTGTTCGCTAGTCAGTCGGTGATCAATTGGTCGTTGCGGAGGCGGGGCTATTTTGGGCGCCGAGCAGATGTTGCAGCACGTTGTGGTTTAGAATTAAAGGGTGACTATTGTTAACAGGCTAACTAAGCCGAGAGTGTCTGCCAGGCCAACACAAAATGGCCGCTGCAGGTGCAGGTGGCCGCTGTCCGAGATTCTATTGTACTGTTTTAACGAAAGTGGCTGATATTTCTATATTTTCATCCGCCTAGAGTTCTATCGGCTAACAAACTGAATTAAACTTAAACCTATTTATTTCTTGCTGTTGGTGGTCATCGCATCTTTCAAGCTGTAATTCAGAGTTTGAATATGTTGTCGAAGGAGTAAAACTGGGTGGCGATGACCCATCCATAACACTGCTTTGCATATCACTGTTCTCTCTCGGAGTTGTGGAAGAAAAGGTGTGGTCTTCACTTCTTTCTGATTCTTCTGCGATTATTTTCCTTCTTGCTTGATAGGAAGCGATCTTACGCTCTATGCCCACAAATAAAACTGATACGAATATACCAGCAGCAACAAGGACGAAAACGCCGTTATAATCATACATAGATAATCTGTGTGGTGCTCTCTCAAAGTCTTCCTTTTTCAAACACTTTCGCACTAACCACTTATTCCAGAGAACAGACAACGCATTTTCGTCGCTCAGTTGAAGTATCCTGCTTGAGAATGCCTGGGTCCAAGTGGAAACTTTTGCTAGTACCAGTCCATATCCAGAGATCCCAAAAGACTCTCCCACAATTCTCAGAGAGCAGTCGTGTTGTGAAGAGACCATATGCTCCAGATACGGGTGGTCGTCGATGTAAACTGAAAATTCCCTGTAGGCAGGAGTGCAGGTAACATTAGGATTTATTAGATGGACGCTGGGTCCTTCTACAGGAACCTTAGCAACTTCGGATAAATTGGTGTCATTTCCTCTTAATTGATTTCCAGTTGCTTATCATTCTTACTTTTTTGGTTAATAAGCGCTCTATGGTTGCGAGCTTCTTAAGTTCCATTTACAGAAGTACTTGCATTAAATACTGCAACTGGAAATCGTCCGAATCAAGCTTCATTTCCTTTAGACTCTTCTGAAGTACATCAAATGTAACGGAATATGGAACTCTCACCCAGATTTAACTTTTTCCACCCCATCCTGTACATTTTCCACGTTATAATCCTTCATGTTATCGTAGATTTTACGCATGCGCGGATCTCGATTAAACTTGAAGTAGGCTTCAGTGCTGCTCGACTTCAGCGTTCCAAAGTGGAAACCCGAAGGAGGGTTAATCATCTGTCAAAGGAGAGAAAAAAATTAAGAGGATTCAGTATATCTGAGTAAGACATTGAAGTCAAATCATTGTTTAGTTCACACGAATTTGCTACACTCCTTTGCTTTAGAAAAGAAAGGAAACCGCGTATCTCCTCATATACCTTAAGACTGAGGCACCATTCAAAACTGACGAAAAGCGTGAGATAAGGTTAATTCTTAGGTATTCCTTTGCACATGAGGGTTTGTGCTTACTGTTACAACCATTAACTTTACGGCTTACACTTTAGATCCTTATGGGTGACTAAAATCTAATTTCTCTTTACAATATCACCCCTGAATCAAACATTAAGGTTGAGAGAATAAAGGAAATGATCACCGACTAGAGAAGCTAGCGCTTTGATTGTTAGAAAAATGCTCCATAAAGGTACCTTGAGAAAAGTACAGAGGACAGCATGGAGAACATGTATACCGAAGATAGGGTGTAAAGGTTTTAAGGAAGAGGAAAAGTGGGACTAAAACGCAACTGGGCAAGCAAAGGTAGGAGATGGGAAGGGGTCCTATAACTCAATCTTCCATCTCTTTTCTCTTTCACAAGTGTTCTGCTCGTTCTTCCCTTGATTGTCTCCATCGCGTTTTTGGTTTTCACATCCCTCCTCTTTCAGATTAGTAAGCATTAAGCTTTTGATTTTATTGTACCTTTTCGTCGTATATTCCTGTTACTGGCGGTTCAGCGTCATCTTTTACCTTATTAGCGGCCAGATTTGCTGTATATGTGCTGCTCAGGATTATCATGGCAAACGCAAAGAAGATGGCCACTAAACGCGCACTCAAGCTTCTTGGAAAACCACTTCCCGCTGACACGTGTACAAGTGTGCTCCACGTGTAGGACATACTCTCTAACAACGTTATACTTTCTTTATCATTTAAGCTTTCTGTGATTGCTCTTTTCGAGAAACAACTACTGTTATTGATGTAAAAACCACTTGTTTTTCGGTCCAAGAACCACAAGGCGAGAAAAATTGTTAGAATGGATAACAAGATTGCAAACCATAAACTTGTTCCAAACGGTGCGAGAAACTCCATCGTTATCAAAGGTTTTGCAGAAACACCGTTGGCAATAACCATCCCAATTCCAACTTCGCCGTAAGGAGTAGTAAAATCTACTACTTTGCTGCGTTGTGCGTTGATCGTGATAGTACCTAATGCCATGTCTGCTTTACCGTACAACACTTCTCCAATCATACCATTCCACAGCCCTGTAGCATCATCTATAGCCCCGTACTTTCCATCAGGCACGAGGTACAATTCATAGGAGAAGCTTAGCTTGCTCTGTATCAAGTCCAGTAAGTCTATCATTAGACCAGATACGCAGAAGACGCGCAGCGGATTTGAACTGTTGCTCGAGATGTTGGAGTATTCGTAGCAGGGAACTCCTATTTCGCAATTTGGCTGAAGTGAATTGTGCCGTAATTTTTCTCTCGTGCAGTGCTCTCCATGTTCGGTGCAGCCTATCACGTCGCCAACCTTATAAAGATACTGACCGTGTTCGATACCAACAATTCGAAGACTCTTAGATACAACGCCAGGTTTGTGATTAAATTTCGGAAGAAAGTTTTCTTCAAACTGAAAGCTTCCTGTAGTTTGATATGTTGCAATTTTCCTCCAGGAATGCCTTAACACAGAATTAGTTTCTAGCTTCAAAATGTCGTAAGTATCGCTGAAAACTTGTTGATTTAACGTAAAACTTTGGCTTGTTTGTCCACAACGACTGTGAAAAGATCATAAATATATGAATTTAAAAATGTCGAATTTTCTGAATACCTTATTAACTCAGTAGCCTATGTGAGCCATCTCTCTTTAAAGCTTACCTTGTCAACTTTTTTAGAGAGGTCCACCGATGCACACCATAACATGATCCATTTGGGGGTGAAAAAACCGGCGTTGAATCATTGGAGTCAACTTGTATCGAAGAAGCAAGAATATGTAGTGCTTTCAATGCTGTTCAATAAATATTAACAATAATATTAATATCTAAATTTATTTTTCCTTGTGCGCACCTAGTGGAGCTATCTACGAGGAATCTGTGCCGATTAAGAGTTTTAAATTTTCCCTACCTATTGTTTCTTCCGACATGTTAAGTTTAACTCCAACAAAGTTTAAAATACCAATCGGTATTCTCTGTTGCCGATCATATGTAACGTTTAAGGCTTGAACGACTGCTTCCGTTCCAATCCAAAGAAAATCTTCGGAGACCATCCCCAGCTTTATTGCAGTCTCAAAAGCAGTCTTGACCAACTGTTCCCCACAGGCCAAAACGAGCACTTTGATTTCTTGGGTTTTGATCTTGGTTAATACTTCAGTGATTTGTACCACAAATGTAGTGTCGTCGTCATCATCATTACAATTTTCCTTGGACGAGATCGGAGTCTCGAAGACATTGCCAGTCCGCTTTGTGTCCAGTGAAATAATATCAAATGCTAGCTTTTCGTATCCTGTGTGCATTTCATATATGATAGAATATTTTTTAACTCGTAGAGTGTCTAATATGGCTTGAATTGCTTTAGATTGATGGGTTATGGTAGGTTGAAGATATTTGTAGTTATGAAACACCTCCTAATGGATGAGAAAAAAGTTCAGTATGTATAATGTATGCTAATAAATCACAACGAAAAATTTATTTATGTCATGGAATGATGAAAATAAGTAAATGTATTATCTGACTTTGTAAGCATTGACATATAGGTGCATTCCTCTTTCGTTTACTTTCTTGAAGATGAGAACTCGCTTCGTTTACGCCGATCATAAAATGCAAGACGGCAGTGGCTGTCAATGTTTATAGGGCTTCAACAGAAACGACGTCACTTTCAACAGAAAACTTTTCAGGTCGTTCATGTTAACAAGGTTAAACCAGGTTTGAGAAAAACCACCCTAAATGCCACGTTTAAGGTCGCACAAAAAATCATCTAAGGTTGATCTTTCTGAACAGTGCTATGAAGACCAATAGGTAATGCTTATTCACTTCAAAAGACCCACTTTTAAAGAAATCATAAGTTGCACTGAATTTCGAAGGCCCCGGCCGAGGTATGATATCGTTTAAATTCAATTACTTTCTTTTGTACCAGAACTGCATGGAAGTAATACAAGTAAAAATTTCCAAGTGGTAAATAAAGTATCCTGCTGGAATTAAACGCCATTGATTAACCAACTTTTATTGATTTTTATTCGCCTTGCGGACATTTGATTCAACTTACCTGATTCTCAAATACCGGATCTCTGTTTGTACCAAACATTAGGTAGGGGAAACCCGCCAACAATTTTGTGAACTCGTAAGCCATTGAATTTTTGGTCGCAAGAAAAATTGCTTGAACTCTTCGTGGAAGTAGCTCATGACAAAAAGTATCTAAAATGTCTCCAAAAGAATTCACCTCTGTTTTAGAGACAGCTACAAATTCAAACTTTACTTTTTGCGGAAGCTTGTCGTGTACTTTTAAAGCATCGTGAAAAATTTCAGTCCAGTTTGTATTTGAAGATACATCAGTGACAAAACCCAACTTAATGGTTGTATGTGGCTGTGCAGATGTACCAGCGTGTAAAGATAGTACCAGGCTGTAAGCTGTAGCAAAAAGAATCGTCGAATATTTGTAGAACATCACTGAAGACGTATTTTGCAGTGAGTATTTGATGTGGCACAAGATGATAAGATGCACTATCCGCGCTGAACCTGCAATGAAATTACTGAGCTTACTTCCATGAAGAGCTCATTAGTTAAGCTTTCATGAAATTGTTCTGGATAAATTCGTACTCTATATACTTGTGCTCGCTGATTCTTCCAGAGTGCACGGTAGGATCTGAACGGTTTGGTTCAATGTAGCCCACGTAGGTAGGCACAAATCATGAAATTATGTCGGTTAACCGAAGGCAATTTGCGGTTTTTGAGTTGCGGTAGTGAAAAAAAAAAAAAAAAGAAAAAGAAAACCTTACAGGAATTTATTCCTTATCATGTCCTGACATAAACAAAGCGAATTTGTTAAATAAAAATGTAAGACTTCTAACATGTTCTAACAAATAACTGTCATTTTTGCAAACAAAATTAAATCTTGCTTATTTTCGACAGGTGCGTAACTTGTCTCCAGTGGAGAAATGTTAACGTTATTAGCAGGGTGTTTATCAAGTGATAGAACTCAATTTAAAACAATCGTCGCGCAAGGGTTAGCATAAACACGTACATTGAGCCTAGCCGCAGTCTTCATTTTACCAATGCATACTCCATTCTCGCCCTGGATCACAACATTTTTGTACTGAAACAATAGAAAAGAAACTATATCCGTTTATTATCATGTATTATCGCCCTCATTGATTTGTCTCTCTCGGCTCCCGGAGGTGTTTCCCACCAACTGGAAAACATCGAAAAAGCCCCCTGTGGAAAAGACTGTCTTGCGTAGGGTACCTCGCTATGAGGGATGAATTTTTATCACAATTTCTCAAAAACTTTTTATCAGGGATAGACAAAGAAACACAATGGCTTCGTTTCATCCTCTCGTGATTATTTTTTCTGATTATAATTTGCTGTCAGGAGATTAGAGGTGAATGCGGCTGTAGGAAAGTAGAGAGTGCACGAGAGGATGTACATGGTTTTCTGATGTGAATCTTTCCTCCACTGATGCATAGTCTGGGTATTTTCAAGCTTTATCGTTTCTACACTTAATCAGGCTCTGGAAGGATCCATATAGCTCATATCTACCGAGTTTGAGGTCCATATTGTAAGTTGGACCAAGTTATGGCCCTAACACGAAACCCATGGGCCATAGATTGATGGGGAACAAACAATAACATGTCACTCACCGCGGCTACCGAGAAGCGGAGGTTTGTAACATCAAATTCCCTCTTTGAATGTGAAGAATTTAGGGAATGGATTGGAGTCGTTACAGCTTCAAATGACTGACGCATGTTGAAAGGAAAACCAATCAACAAAGACAACAACAGGGTTTATTCTATTTTATCACAACAACAGAACATTGCCGTATTGCAAATTAGTGAGTTAAATATGATCATGAAGTGACAATACAAGGAAAAAGGAATATTAAAAGAAATGACAGTAGTCATTTATAATCTCTTGTCATTTCATATTTTTCTACAGGGTAATGAATAACATTAGTTTTTCTCGTAAACCAAACTATGATAACGATAAAGTAATCATAGAATTCGTAAGATGTGATATCTATCTATCCCCAGCAAGTTTTAATTCCCAGTTCAAAGAAAACACAATTTTAAGAGGGACTAAGAAAAGAATGAGGCCAACTGTTCGCCGTAAAACGGCCAAAAAATTTAGCCGTTCGACGTAAAAATTGACAAATTTTAACCGCTGGTCGTTAGTGAACCGTTAACATTTTCCTTTTTTAACAACTTGTGTCAATAGGTGGTTTGCAACCAATCTCTAGAGACACAGGTAACAATGGTGAAAGGAACAAATGCTGGTGGACGAACAAAAGGATCTAATGAGATATCTATTCAGTTTACGTCCACCAACATGGCGGCAAAACGTAACGTGCAAACCACCTATAAAATGTAAAATGGCCAAAATTCTAACCGTTGGCCGTGAGAACCATCGCCCCATTTAGACCTTTTTGAAGAGGTAAAAATAAGTCTCCTCAACGACACCCCGCCATAGAGCTTAAAATATTTCGACATCATTGGGTGAAGGTCAGAGTTCTGGGATACGAACTAACTTAGTCAATCGATGACGCAACGCTGGTAGATTTACTTCTAATGCAGTTGAGCCCGCGATATCTTTCGCCAGCAGTCTGTTATCATACAAAAATGGCGGAAGACGTAAACAACGAGTCACCTCCATCTAAAGCGGACGAACGAAAAATCGTGGTCGAATTTTGCCAGCTACAGGAAAAATCCCGACAACTTTTTAACTCGCTAAGGTATTTTGATGTTCTCCCTGTGCGTTACCTCTGAGCGCTGTATCTCCTGCTCCCCCGGGCACCTAAGCAGCTAAGAGGGCGTGTATATAGACCGTGTAACTTAGGTGTATGTTGTTTACTGAAAGTTTTACTCTGTTTTTGCATCGGAGTCATCAGTAGATAACTGATTCTTGACTGTTAAAGGAAAGTAACTGTACCTTTCTCAGCATCAGTTATCAAACTCCATAGTCGTTAGAATGTCTCTTGTGTGATACGATGGAATGTACGATATTCGTTCGACTTTGGGATAAGGGTCATACAGACCGATCGCTTTTCGGAAATACCTAATTCTGGATTTTGCATTACAGCATCGTTCCTGTCTTCAACTCAGTCACGTATTTCTTTGTTTTCTGTCTCAAAATTCTGATTAAGCTTGTATTATGAGTTACAGGCGTAGTTTTAAACAACGAAAAGGTTCACATCGGAAATAACAATTAATCACGTAGGTATAGATTTTCAAGGGGTGCTGTAAACCTCTTGGCCCCCTAAGAGTGACTAGGATTTAATTTCTCCTTACGATATCACCCCTGAATCAAACATTAAGGTCACGAGAATAAAGGAAATGATCACAAACCGAACAAGCTCTTGATTGTTAAACAAATTTTCCTTATCACCCGGCCAGGTAATTTTTGGAGAACTGTATGGTGGATTACACATTCTGATATCGAGGTGTAAAGGGTTGAAGAGGTTTATTACTAATTTTCCAACAACCTCAGCTTAAGTCCCTATCAGTTTAATTGATGCAGGGTTAATGGCAGTGAAATGGTTTGAAGATACCACAGCTTGACACTAACGGTAGCCAACAAGTCACAGACTAGTAGAAATTCAGTTTTGGCCAGTGGTTTTCAATTTCCACTGGCCAGTTTTGCAAGTAAACAAACTGAAATTGATGTAACATCTACTGAGTTGTCACTAGCCACTTGGCTAGTAAGTTGAAAAGTTAGTGTTGAGCTCTGGATACTGTTTTGTTCTGTGGAGACTAATTATTTAAACCTGAGCTATATCTTGCTGATGATTAGAACACATTGGACTGCACCATGAAACACAACAATTTTATTCAAGACTTATTTGCCTTCTTTCTCAGGTTATATATGGATATATAAATGTAACAGTACTCTGTCATTTTAAAGACAGTGAAAAAGTTCCACTGCAGTCTATAAGGCACATATCTCCAAGAATACAAAATGATACACTGTACATGTTATCTCCACTGTGCTCCCAGTTTATCTGCATAATTGTTTTATCATGCCTCCCCTATTCCAAACTGTGGAAATAATTTACAATGTTAAATATTTGATATGATATCTATGACAGAGACTTGCCCCAGTTTGGACACAAACACTGGCAAACACATTTTGGCAGAACATTTGATGTCTACACCAAGGTGAATGTTTTTTTTTTTTTAAGTATACATGAAAAGTTTTCTGTACCTTTTCTAATTGTTTTTTCTTTGTTTGACATAAGTATTTTTAATCTTTGTGAATTTGATGATGCTAACATGTGCACTTTTAATTATTATTTTGTCAGCTTTGGAAATTTCAACAAAACCACAGGTACTGAATTCATTTGTAAAATGATATGACTTGTTGTAAATTTACATGAAGATCTGTCTCTCATTCAGCTAGGATTCTATCTTCTATCCAAGAGCTCTTCCTTAATTACCTCAAACATTTGGTTTTTTCTTTTTGAGAAAAATAGCAAGAGAGGTTTAAATTACAAGTGGATATAATTACTGAAACTCACTGAAGGTCTTTACTTTCTGTGTCTTTATTAATGATAATTTATTAAACTTCAGATGTGTTTCTACTCTGGTATTAGTAGTCTATTTAAGTAATTGTGGTCATGTTTACATGGTAATCCTAAAGGTACTGAGGACAGTTTAGTCTGAAACAGAGATAAAATACACTATGGTTTGATTAATTGTACATAGAGGAGTTCTTAGGTGTTAAATTTTTTCACTTTGCCAAGCAAAATTTCTTCAAAATAATGAACGTGTATTTGGTGGAAGAACATTTCACATTTATGTTTCCTTTATATTCAATGCTTCCTTTATATTCAAGGTTTGGATTCATGAGAATAAGTTAGTTATTGAATTAATTTATGATATGAAGGGGCAATCAGAAGCATACAGCAAACTTTGCTAATACAGTCTTCAAATCAGTTTTTCTTCAACCCTCAGTTAATTAAAAATACCCTTTACAGTGGACCTCATGTTGATTGACATTAATCCTACAAGAAAGAATCTTTTCAGTGAGAATTGTGTTCATGAGATCTGTTTATAACATCATTCAAATTTTGTTTCTGTTTGCCCAGATCCATACTGGACACTAGATATAACCTGAAGAGATGGCAGATAGGAGAAATTG